CTGGCAGGCCTGGCCTGAGGGGGTCAGCAGTGTGTGTTCAAAGTGTTTTATCATTATGGATGTCGGGTCAGTGTTTGCTCTGACTCTCACCTCTTCTGCTAGGAACTCCGTGTGAGCCAAAGAAAAGTGTGATCAGCTGACTTTTAGTGGTTCAGAAACAAGTGCTAAATTGCAGCAGCAATCTAATCCTTTTTCTGAAGGACTTTTACAAAAGGAATTACAAAGCATTTTTCTTTCTTAAAATAAAGAATTCTACAGACCAGTGCTCCAGGTTGCTCCCTTCCCTTGCACACTCCCTTCCCTTGTTTGTATTCTAGAATAAGAATCTTTATTTGCTGGGTAGAAGGGATTTCTTTTGAGATTGTTAATTTTAACTAGTGTTTTCAACAAATGTACAGCGTCACAGCAGTTTCATCCCAGCAGGTCTATTAAGCTACATGGGGATTATAAAATGTGGACTGCTCAAAAAAGCATCTGTAAAATTGGGGAAGGAGAGGATTTGCCTCATAAGCTATAGGAGAGTTTATGCTCTGCATCCAGTAGGATAAAGTGGGTGTTTGAAATCTGGAGTTGAGGAGACTCCTTGCTGAAAGGTCAGAATGTGTTTCTGTGGAGTGTCCCCTCACAAACAGGAAATCAGGTGGACGAGTGCAGTGACCCTGGCCCAGGACTGTAAAAATTGAGATAATGTGTGTAACTTTGCATTACTTAGTTGCTGAGCAGGATCAAACTTGCAGCTATGTCTTAGTTGTGATAGCAGCATAATGTCCAGAACACAAACCATTGGCAGGAATTGCCTTTTCCTGCCTTCAAAGTGCAGAACCTGTCATTTAGCTTGAAAATGTTGATCTTTTGAGATTAATCACATCTGCATGTGTAAGGTCTTGAGCCAAATACTTGTTTAATAAGCTTCTAGCCTCCAGTTGGATAATGTGTTATCCCATCTCATCCTTTTCCAAAAAAACCCTGTGCCTGTGGTCCAAGCTGTGGTCCAGCTGGTGGGCCCTCAGAGGACAACAGTCTTATGCTGCTCTTTCCAGGCATGAGGAAGTGCTCTGTGGTCTGGTTTGCCCTGTGCTCAGGTGTGTGGGATTAGAGCAGACCCTCTCTGGCACATTGGCTCAGCATTAGTCACAAATGAAGTGTCTTGGTGTTGGCAGATCTATTCCAAAGTCTGCGGGTGGTGCCTCAGTGATACCAAAGTTAATTTCCAGTCTCCTGCTAGATGTTTCAAACTGTGAATGCCACATTTCCAATGATGGAGCCTTTGAGTGTGTTTAAGCTGTTCTGCTGTAGCAAGGAATCTTTGCAGCAATTTCAACCTGCATTGGTTTTTGTTTGGTTTGTTTTTTGTTTTGTTATATTTTGCTGCAGCCCACCTATAAATTGAACACTGTGTTAACACAGTTGTAGTCATTCTCTTTTACCTTTGGGCATTTTTGCATGCCCCATGGGTTAGTCTCAGCACCCAAACACGTGTTTCATATTAATTGGATTAACACGCTCAGCAATTCATTCAGAACAGCATCTCCTATGCATGTGCTGATCTTTGGACATGCATAGTCAATTGCAATTCATGTGCTGTGTTGCTGGCCCTTCTTAATGGCCTTCATTATTGTATTCTAGGCATTTTCCTGAAATTTGATCTTTTCCATGTGTTCCCTAAAGAAAAATACAGTATTTCAAACAACATCAAGTTGTTGATGTTGCAGGTCTGGGTGTGAAGGATGTGCTGTCTATTTTGTCCTGGTAACTTCTGATGGGTTTGGAAGAACCAAGAAACGAGAGCTTCTGTTTTCAGCTGTATTCTGCAGAGATGAGAAAATTTCCAGTAGCAAGCATGTCCCTCCCACCAGCACACCCACACACGCTGGATCCTTCCGAGCATCCAGTTTATAAATTATTTATTTTCTTTTTCATTGGGGTTTGTCACATGGTAAAAGGTTTGATTAATTCAATGGTGTCGTGCTGCCATACTCACTTAGTGAATTTGCCTTTCAGGTATGATTTGATATCTTTAGTAAGATTTCCTGGAATGGTAAACTTCCTAGAATGGGAGAAAATACAGTGTGATTAGGGTGGACCTTGGATGCTTTGGAACAGGATCAGGACCGGATAGACAATAAGCCTGAACAGCAACTGCTGTTGGTGCTGCCACCTACACCATTCTAATTGCTCTTTGGCCCATGTACAATGCTCAAGTGATCTGTTCAGTCCTTCAGAGAAGAACATTTGCAAACAAACTTGCAGCATCCTGCAGAGTCCAAGGGTTTAAGTTCAAGAGATTAAGCTCCATTTACAGAGAGAAGTTCACCACCCAGCACAGCGCGTACGCACTCACTACCCTTCTGTGCACTCTGCCTAAGCCTCACAGAAGGTTTTGTGCTTCATGGAGGTTTTTCAGCTCCTCTAAGATGCTCTAAAATCTCAGGGTTGGAAAGAAAAGGATGGGAGCAGTGTGATTTGTTGCAGTTAAATTATGTCACTGCATCATTTGAATTTGTAGCCACAGCTCCTGTTTGAGGGCAGCTTGATTTAATAAGCAATTTACTGTGCTGTATTTACTGAAATTGCTGTGTCATGCCTGCAGTTTTTATGACAGCTCCTATTACATTTGTAACATTTAAATTGCATCTGTGGTTATGAGTAGAATACTGGGATTTTCCTCTTTCTTTTAACTCAGATAGCTCTGGCACTGTACAGTAATGATGCTGCTGTGTCCAGATCCGATTTAGATAATTACAGTATGTTCTTCCTTGCACCTTTTGAGCATTATCAGCAGAAACAGAGAGTA